AGTGGCTGAAGTAAACAGCGGGTTAGCTATTGGGAGTTCGCTATAAGTGGCTGAAGTAAACAGTGGGTTAGCTATTGGGAGTTCGTTATTAGGAGGCTGAAGTAAACAGTGGGTTAGCTATAAGGAGTTCGTTATTAGTTGCTGAAGTAAACAGCGGGTTAGCTATTGGGAGTTCGTTATGAGTGGCTGAAGTAAACAGCGGGTTAGCTATTGGGAGTTCGCTATAAGTGGCTGAAGTAAACAGCGGGTTAGCTATTGGGAGTTCGTTATTAGTGGCTGAAGGAAACAGCGGGTAAGCTATTGGGAGTTCTTTATTAGGGGGCTGAAGTAAACAGCTGGTTAGCTATTGGGAGTTCGTTATTAGGGGGCTGAAGTAAACAGTGGGTTAGCTATAAGGAGTTCGTTATTAGTTGCTGAAGTAAACAGCTGGTTAGCTATTGGGAGTTCGTTATTAGGGGGCTGAAGTAAACAGTGGGCTAGCTATAAGGAGTTCGTTATTAGTTGCTGAAGTAAACAGCTGGTTAGCTATTGGGAGTTCGTTATGCGGGGGCTGAAGTAAACAGCGGGTTAGCTATTGGGAGCTCGTTATTAGTCGCTGAAGTAAACAGCGGGTTAGCTTTTGGGAGCTCGTTATTAGTCGCTGAAGTAAACAGCGGGTTAGCTATTGGGAGATTAGTTGCTGAAGTAAACAGCGGGTTAGCTATTGGGAGTTCTTTATTAGTGGCTGGAAAAAACAGCGGGGAAGCTATGGGGAGTTCTTTATTAGGGGGCTGAAGTAAACAGCTGCGTTATTAGTTGCTGAAGTAAACAGCGGGTTAGCTATTGGGAGTTCGTTATGAGTGGCTGAAGGAAACAGCGGGTTAGCTATTGGGAGTTCGCTATAAGTGGCTGAAGTAAACAGCGGGTTAGCTCTTGGGAGGTCGTTATTAGGGGGCTGAAGTAAACAGCGGGTTAACTATTAGGAGGGGGCTGAAGTAAACAGCGGGTTAGCTATTGGGAGCTCGTTATTAGTCGCTGAAGTAAACAGCGGGTTAGCTATTGGGAGCTCGTTATTAGTCGCTGAAGTAAACAGCGGGTTAGCTATTGGGAGTTCGTTATTAGGGGGCTGAAGTAAACAGCGGGTTAACTATTAGGAGGGGGCTGAAGTAAACAGCGGGTTAGCTATTGGGGGTTCGTTATTAGTGGCTGAAAAAAACAGCGGGTTAGCTATTGGGAGATCGTTATTAGGGGGCTGAAGTAAACAGCGGGTTAACTATTAGGAGTTCGTCATTAGGGGGCTGGAGTAAACAGTGGGTCAGCTATGGGGAGTTCTTTATTAGGGGGCTGAAGTAAACAGCTGCGTTATTAGTTGCTGAAGTAAACAGCGGGTTAGCTATTGGGAGTTCTTTATTAGTGGCTGGAAAAAACAGCGGGGAAGCTATGGGGAGTTCTTTATTAGGGGGCTGAAGTAAACAGCGGGTAAGCTATTGGGAGTTCGGTATTAGGGGGCTGAAGTAAACAGCGGGTAAGCTATTGGGAGTTCTTTATTAGGGGGCTGAAGTAAACAGCTGGTTAGCTATTGGGAGTTCGTTATTAGGGGGCTGAAGTAAACAGTGGGCTAGCTATAAGGAGTTCGTTATTAGTTGCTGAAGTAAACAGCTGGTTAGCTATTGGGAGTTCGTTATTAGGGGGCTGAAGTAAACAGCTGGTTAGCTATTGGGAGTTCGTTATGAGGGGGCTGAAGTAAACAGCGGGTTAGCTATTGGGAGTTCTTTATTAGTGGCTGAAAAAAACAGCGGGTAAGCTATGGGGAGTTCTTTATTAGGGGGCTGAAGTAAACAGCGGGTTAACTATTAGGAGTTCGTCATTAGGGGGCTGGAGTAAACAGTGGGTAAGCTATGGGGAGTTCTTTATTAGGGGGCTGAAGTAACCAGTGGGTTAGCTATTGGGAGTTCTTTATTAGGGGGCTGAAGTACACAGCGGGTTAGCTATTAGGAGTTCGTTATTAGGGGGCTGAAGTAAACAGCGTGTTAGCTATTGGGAGTTCGTTATTAGGGGGCTGAAGTAATCGGCGGGTTAACTATTAGGAGTTCGTCATTATGGGGCTGGAGTAAACAGTGGGTAAGCTATGGGGAGTTCTTTATTAGGGGGCTGGAGTAAACAGTGGGTAAGCTACGGGGAGTTCTTTATTAGGGGGCTGAAGTAAACAGCGGGTTCGCTATTGGGAGTTCGTTATTAGGGGGCTGAAGTAAGTAGCGGGTTAGCTATTAGGAGTTCGTTATTAGGGGGCTGTAGTAAACAGTGGGTAAGCTATGGGGAGTTCTTTATTAGGGGGCTGAAGTACACAGCGGGTTAGCTGTTAGGAGTTCGTTATTAGGGGGCTGAAGTAATCGGCGGGTTAACTATTAGGAGTTCGTCATTAGGGGGCTGTAGTAAACAGTGGGTAAGCTATGGGGAGTTCTTTATTAGGGGGCTGGAGTAAACAGTGGGTAAGCTACGGGGAGTTCTTTATTAGGGGGCTGAAGTACCCAGTGGGTTAGCTATTGGGAGTTCTTTATTAGTGGCTGAAGTAAACAGCGGGTTAGCTATTAGGAGTTCGTTATTAGGGGGCTGAAGTAATCGGCGGGTTAACTATTAGGAGTTCGTCATTAGGTGGCTGGAGGAAACAGTGGGTAAGCTATTGGGAGCTCTTTATTAGTGGCTGAAGTAAACAGCGGGTTAGCTATTAGGAGTTCGTTATTAGGGGGCTGTAGTAAACAGTGGGTAAGCTATGGGGAGTTCTTTATTAGGGGGCTGGAGTAAACAGTGGGTAAGCTACGGGGAGTTCTTTATTAGGGGGCTGAAGTACACAGCGGGTTAGCTGTTAGGAGTTCGTTATTAGGGGGCTGAAGTAAACAGCGGGTTCGCTATTGGGAGTTCGTTATTAGGGGGCTAAAGTAAGTAGCGGGTTAGCTATTGGGAGTTCGTTATAAGGGGGCTGAAGTAAGTAGCGGGTTAGCTATTAGGAGTTCGTTATTAGGGGGCTGAAGTAATCGGCGGGTTAACTATTAGGAGTTCGTCATTA